AGCGTGAACATGGACTAATCTGTGGAGGCGTTTACTCAGCATCACCAGGGTGCAGCCACACAGAGCTGGGAGCAGGGCTGGTGTTTGATTGGGTGTTTTTTTTATTTTCTTTTAATGTAACACTTTTCTTTTCTTCTTAAAGAGTTTGAGGATACTTACATTATAGCTGAGGAATACAGGGTGGATAAATTCTACTTTGAAGAAAACTTCTCTTCTGACAAGGTATGTTTTCATGTCTCTATTACATGTACCAGTATGCAGTTATTTTATTGTTGATACAGTTGATATTGTTGATACAGCTATATTAATGTTATTAATAAACATTTGTGAATTATATGTTAAAATTTAAACCGTAGTTCTTTAGAATAAGCATTATTAAAAAAACCTCTACATTTTTGTAACTAAAATTACTTTAGTTTTATGTCTTATACTAGAGCTATTTTAATCATTATCCATTTTTTTAAAAGTAAAAAAACTGTCATAATGCTTTATCATCAATGTTAACATGACTGGTTTTAAAAAGACTCACACAATCTTTTCAGAACACAATATTACTTACATAATTAATGTTAAAGAAGTTAAAACATATTAGATATATTAAAGTCATTCACTATGTAAATCCGATACTGTTTCTTTAAATATATAAATTATTCAAATGTCATCTTTGTCTATACCTTTAAAAACCTGTATTTTTCCTTGATAAATATCTTATTGTACAATGACATGGTACTGAGCAATTGTAACAGAAATTAACATAATTTCAAGAAAGAATACCTATCATAGTTTAACCAGGTCTATATCCCATATGAAAAATTAGAGACTCCTATTCATAAACTTCATACTCAAAGATTTCCTTTGTCCTTTCACAAAGTGTTTTTTTTTTTTTTTTAAAAAAAAGCACCCTTTTTATTATATCTTAGATCTTAAAAATTAAAGAATGCTTTCACCTCTCTTCTCCCAATAATCTAAACAGAACATAGTATTCTTTCATGCTAATGTATTCAGAGGTGTGGCTGCCATGAAAACAGTGGCCATATGCTGTAAGGACCAAGTCACAAAGTCACAAAGAGCCTGAGGGGTTTCTGTGTATTTTATCTATTGTTTTTAAAATAGTGTGCTTTATCATTTTATTTTTCTTGAAATCCAACCAATAATCATTATGTTGAGAAAGAAAAAGAAAGAAAGAGAGAAAGAAAGAAAGAAAGAAAGAAAGAAAGAAAGAAAGAAAGAAAGAAAGAAAGAAAGAAAGAAGGAAGGAAGGAAGGAAGGAAGAAAGGGAGGCAGATGGAGCAGAAGCCCCAGCTCATGTGAGAGTATCTGAGCTGCTGTTTCTCATTTGGTTTTGGCATGAAGCACTGCAGTGTAACAGTGGAAAGAATGGGAATGATGCAGTCTTCTGTTACAACTAACCACTACATTAAAAATGACTGTCTTGATACCTGACCTGAACTTGAGACAGAACAGATTACAAGCACTGGCGAAAATCTCAAAAGTAGAGAGGCAGAAATGTTTTGTTTTTAAAACAGCAGTTAGGTTGCTGAATATAGCTGATAAAGAGAAAAACTGGTACCCCTGGGAAGAAAGCAGCTAATTCTTTAATTAGAATGCATTTATATTTCCAAGGTAAAATTAATTAAAAGTATTGTTTAAAAGTGTATTGGCTATAACATAACTATGAACTGCAATAATCAAGTCGTCAAGTGGAACTTTAAACACGGGATGCAAGAATACAGTGGCTTGTTTACCTAACAAGGTTCTGAAAGAAAACAGCACTCACTTGGCTGAGATTTCCGTTTCAAGCCGGTCAAGGAGTAATAGGAAGCCTCTGACCTTCCCCGCTGCACTCCTAGCATTATTAGGAAGTCTGAGAAACTGGCCACATCTCAGCCTGTCCTTTTCAGGGGACATTTAGTTCACTGCTTGGTAGTGACTCTGTGAGAGGAAATCCACTCAGAGCATGGTTGAAAGCTTTAGCAGAGAGTGAGGAAGTTGCCTCAGCTCTGCTGCCTCCAGGGAATTCTGGAAGCACAAAGCCTAAACTTCCTCCTCTACAGAGTTCCTGGGAGTGATATCTAGAGCTTTCTCTCAGCTCTAAATTCTGATTTTTAGTAACAGTAGGAGCACTGGGATAGTGTTCCCAAGAGTCTTCATATTAAGACTAGAACTTGAGACCAAAACTCAAAGCCTTCTGTAAATAGAGACACTAGCAAAACTGGTCTAAATCAGGAAAATATTGAGTCTTCCTGAGAATGAGATATATTCTTAAAGCTTTTAAAAATAGCTCAACCTAAATGCTGCCAAAACTAATAAGCTTGACTTTGAACTGTCTTAACAAGCTCAAAATAAGGTCATACACTATAATAAAGTACTATTTCACATATTTCTTCTAATAGAAGGCACTGTAAATATATGCACTACAAATATTTATCCTGTAGTGAACAGCTAGTTCTATAGCTTGACCAACAGAGGTTTTGGATCTTTTCAAGGACTCTTCAAATCTATACAGAGACCTAGCAGTATCAGAGGAGAATTCCTCAGGGTACCAAGGTTGTCCTGTTTTCCCCACAAGCAATCAAGAATACAGACAGATATATTTTTTTTAAATGGCTAACAACAGAAAACTACTAAGAAGGCATTTCTGTTCTTCATGTAAAGATGTTTCTAACAGCATAGGTAGCCAGAGATCTAGAGGTAGTGTGCTCCCTAGAGCACTTTCATTGGCATTATGAAAGTAGTATGGTCCAGACTGTTCTAAAACCTCCACAAAGAGGTACTTTAATTGAGGTGGTAGGCTGTGTATACATAGAACTGTACCTCTCACCAGGAAAAATGACAAACTGCCAGTTAGGAGCTGATTGCCTCCACTAGTTACCAATGGCAAGGCTCCTCCACTGTGACAGATAATGCTGAAACTAGCAGGATGAAGTTTTAATTCATACTTCCATCTACTACAGTTTTGAAAAAGGCAAAGAAGCAGTCTAAGAAAGAAGTTAGAAAATGAGGGGCTCCGCTGATGTTTAGTGAACCTGAGGCAGATGTGCAAGAGAAGCAAACATCATTATTCTGCTTGTTTCCCTGTTCTGTGTGCTTTTTCCTTATTCCCTGCCCTCCACATCCAATGTCTCATACTTGATCCTGTTCCTCAGCTTGAACCTCCACTCAGCATTGGGGCAATTACTCTTGAGCTCACTCAGGCAAGTAGGCTAAAGGAATCTCTGTCACCAGCATGTGGAACACATACAAATGAGTCTGCTGCCAGACTACATGGAAAATCAAGACATGTTCTTGGCATTCACTCTGGAACGCTAACACACTCCTCTTGTTATATATACTTTAAAATTTTCCACAGTTTCCTTAGTTCTATATTTCAAATACCTTAGTGTTAAAATGGTTTTTGTTCTTATGCTGGAAGCTAAAGCCCATGTAATTAAGTTTTTATACTAAAATACAAACAAAAACAATCAGTCAACTTAATAGACCCCAATTTTCATTTCCTATAATCTAGAAAATGGGGCCAAGACCTTAAAACACTGAATTCCAAAACCATTTCCAGGTAGATGTTTTTTCTTTGTTTTCTAGGAGAGGCAATGAATGAGAACAATGTTGTACGGAAAATTTTGTGAGAAGGGGTAGAAAAAGGCAAGGTATAAATTTAGGATTAAAGCAAAGATTTTTGCTGTCAGACTGTAATTTCAAATACTTTAACGCCAGGCACGGTAACACACGGCTATAATCCCAGCACTAAAGACGATCATGAGCCTGAGGCCAGACCGGGCTATACAAATAAATAAATAAACATCTCTGTAGCAAAAACAACAAACCTACGTGTGAGAAAAGGTGTCAATTTATCACATTTATATAGTATTATACTTATTTCAATCTTTTTCAGTGCTCTATTGGTTTTAAAAAGTAATGGGGGGTTATTAAAAGGAGAGAAACACTCAAGAATGTCATTTTCAAAATTTGTCACTTATGTCTATAGTTAAGTTTTTAAATGTGTTGAGTTGGATTATATACATTGGACACTTACTAATTTGGACTACTAGTTTATTTATTGATAGCAAGTGTGTGTGGTGTACGCTTATGTGCATGTGTGAACAGGAGTGCTCAGCATGTAGGCATACATGGAGGCCTGGGGTTACCAGGTATTGCTCTCCACTTCGTTTTTAAGACAGGGCCCTCACTTAATCTGGAGGTCGCCGTTTATGCTAGACTGGCTATCCAGGGAGTCCCTGGCATCTGTTTTCTCCACATTCACACTGAGCACTGGATTATATATGTTGCCAACACACCCAGTTTTCAAGTGTGTGCTGAGGATAGTAACTCGGTTTTCCTGTTTGTATAGTAAGCCCTTTCCTCACTCAGCAATCTCCAAGGCCAGCTCCCCCACTGCCATCAAAGCAGTTAACACGCAGCTGTTGTTGTTGGCAGGTTCTCACTATACAGCTCAAGCTGTCCTAGGATCCCAGCACAGCCCAGGCTGGCTTCAAATTCACCTGGCTGCAGACTCCCAAGTGCTGAGATTAGTGCCACTATGTCCCACTTCTATCATTAACTTTAACAATATCGTATTTAATAAGAATATTTCATTAGAAGTTACAATTATGTTTCTGAGGAGAGGTTGAGGAGAGGAACTGGAGGGAGATATATCGTACCTAACATCATACTTGGGGCACATGAATGCTTAAGAAATACCCACTGACTGGTTGGGGTAGTGCATGCCTGTAATTCCATCTCTGAGTTCATAGTCAGCTTGGTCTACACAGCAAGTTCCAGGGCAGCCAGGACTACATAATAGAGACCCTGTCTCAAAAAACAAACAGAAAACACAAAAGCCCTACAAAACCAAACAAACAAACACAACCCACAAACAAAACAAATCCCTAACAACAAAACAAATAAAAACAAAAGAATGCTCACTGAACAACTAACTGCTTTATCTGTTGACACTAATTCTCAATGTCTACTAAATGCCAGGTTGGATTTGTACCCAGGACAGAATGAAGGAGTATATGATGCTACTGCTGTTGGCTGTGTGCTCTGCTAAACCCTTCTTTAGCCCTTCACACACAGCACTGAAGAATATGATGTTGAAGGATATGGAAGACACAGATGACGATGATGATGATGACAACGATGATGACAATTCACTTTTTCCAACAAAAGAGCCAGTGAACCCCTTTTTCCCTTTCGATTTGTTTCCAACATGTCCATTTGGGTGTCAATGTTACTCTCGAGTTGTCCACTGTTCTGATCTAGGTAAGGACAGAAGTCAACTTTGTTTTGAAGAATAGTGCTATTCTGAAAATGTTAAGAGGATAAAAACATAGTCACTGAACTTTCAAAACTCTCTTCAGTCACTGTAAAATGGGTTATTTATACTCTTATAACCACACTCTGGAAGGCGAGTGTGGTAGCCCAAGCTTTTAGGACACACTACTTAGGAAGCCAAGACAGAAGGACTAAGGGAGAGGCCAGCTTAGGTAAAAGAGAGACCATATAAGAAATAGAAAAGGCGAGGGGGTGGTAGATTGCCTGTTCACTACCTGGGTTTTGATCTTAAAACTGCAAAACAGGCAGAGACATGTTCAGGTGCAGAATACAGAAGACTGCAAAGCATATCTACATTTATTCTGAAAATTCAGAATAAAAAGAAAAATGGGGACCTTACACAGAGAGGATTTCTTTCTCTTCTCAAATCTAAGCACTTAATTTTTACTTTCCTTCATCATAAATCAACTCAAAATGTCAAAACATTGATCCTGCACTTGCCAGTAAAATTCTACAGTAACAAAATAAGGTGCCCATCCAGGGCAAGGCTGTGAGTCATGCAGACTTCATGAAATCTTTAGATATTTTAAATGTAATGTTCACAAGAAGACCAACAGAATCAACTAATCTGGCCGTATGGGCCCCTGCAGAGACTGAAGCAACAATCAAGGACCATGCATGGGCTGGATCTAGGCCCCTACACATATATAGCCGATGGGCAACTTGGTCTTCTTATGGGTTCACTAGTAAGGGGAATGGGGGTTGTTTCCGACATGAACTCTGTTGCATGCTTTTCAATCACTTCCCCCTTGTGGAGCTGCATTGCTAGGCCACCATGGAAAAGGATGTGCTCTGTCCTGATGTGACTTGCAGTGCTAGCTAGCATTGGAGGCCCCTGTCCTGAAGAGGAAGGGAAGAGGAAGGGGAAAAGAGGGAGAGTGGGACCAGGAGGAGAGGAGGATGGGAAGTAAGATTGAGATGTAAAGTGAAAACTAAATAAATAAAGTTAAAAGTTAAAAAAACAAAAGAAAAAAATAGCAAGTAAAGACTAGACTAACTCAAGATAAAAAGCCCACAATACCAAACACTAAATTCTGTATCCCGCAGCTAGCACTCAAGAGTACAGGTGGCATGGCATGAGCTCTACTGTGCCTATAATAGTTGTAGCCAACATGGCCTCTCTCCTGGGCTAGTACTATTTCTTCCCTTTATCCCTCTTCTCTGCCCCCCCTTCTTCTTTTGATTTATATAGCCCAAGGCAGCCTCAAACTAGCTATGTAGCTAAAAAATACTCTTAAATTTCTGAGCCTTTTTATCCCTACTCTGAAATTTAAAAAAAAAAGTGGTTAGCCTGAACAAAGATATACATACATATAACATTCTATGGATTGAGCAGGTTATATTCATATATTTAGGAATACACATACACCTTATAATTAAAAGGAAAAAGGATATAAACTTAAAAAAGAGCAAGGAGGAGATGACAAGAAGTCAAGTTTGATGGGAAGAAATGGAAGAGCGAAATGATGTAGTCATATTATAATCTCCAAAACATTTAAAAGAAGTGTGCACCTTTACCTTATTCTGAGATTACAAAGGCAGCTGTCGCTCTGGTGACAGAGACTAAAGGCACAAGGGCAGGAAAGTGATGTGAGTTAAATCACTTTGTTCTCGAATTCATACTGTAGGTGATGAATGAGATAATTTATATCTACACACTAATCCAGATATGTGTGGGATCTGTAAATAAGATTTACAGCCAGTTAGAAGAACTGACTATTTACAGTAAAAGGGTAGTAAGTTTTTGTTAATATTCATGAAAAAATAATCTAGCATATCCATTTTTCAATATAATTTTCTACACTTTGGGCTTTTATTGTTGTTGGGTTTATTTTTGTTTGTTTTGTTTGTTTGTTTTTTGATAGGGTCTCACTATGTAGGCCAGGCTGGCCTAGAACTCAGAGACTTGCCTGCCTCAGCCTCTGGAGTACTAAGATTAAAGATGTGTACCACCCCAAACAATTTCATTTTGGTTCTTCTTAAAAAAGAAAACTGGTCAAGACCCCCATGTTCCAGTTTCTCCCGAACCAACAAATCTTTGAAAAAGCTATTATTTTCAGCCCAGAGTGCACTGCATAAGCTGTTGCTTGTGATCTCGACAGAGCCCAGTACAGCCTGCCACCATGTTTTCACTTTGAAGCCAGACAGGTTCAAGACATATAGATACCTTATGAAGATAAAAAGTTACTTGAAAGGTCCTAAGACTTTTCAAAAGAAAATGTTATTCATCGTTTTTTACAAATACTAAGTCCTCTGTTATTGATGACCATGAATTTTAAAATATACATCTCTACAGAATTACTGCTCTCATCTTTAGCATCCATGTCTAGCACCTGTAACATGTTTGTTTGTTTCTCAGGTCTGACCTCGGTCCCAAGCAACATTCCATTTGATACTCGGATGGTTGACCTTCAAAATAATAAAATTAAGGAAATTAAAGAAAATGATTTTAAAGGACTCACTTCACTTTACGTAAGAATAAACACTCATATTTTCAAATCTTAAGTGAAAAATCCTTATCACTGCTGAAATGACTGCTTATATTGCATCAGTGGAAAGATTTCTTTCTTTCCTATAGGTGTCCTACTGTAAAATTCTTGTAAACACTATATATTTAATTCAATTAATGTTTACAGAATAAGCCAGATAAAAGGTTACTGGGCTGAGAGTTTAAATGAGTTCATAATCAGATGACAATGCTATCTGCTAAAATGAGTAAGAGAATTATTGCCAGAGCTTGGTAGCCTTTGATTCCAGCACTTGGGAGGCAGAGGTGGATATCAAGCCAGACACAGCTACATGAAACCGTTTCAAAACTAGCAAAAATTAATTATCTACATTAATAATCAACATAGTATGTAAGAAATCTTCATCCGAAACCACTGACTTACGCTCTCACCACAGTTCTCCAACAGTAGCACACAGGCTATATTGAGATGGCTAATGTGCTCATGTATGTCATTTTTCTCTGATCTTGGTAAAGGGAAAATAATTTTCCCTTCTATATTAATAAACATAATTAATATTTTACTTTCCTATCATTGCCTAGTGTTTTGTACCCTATGAGTCTACTGACTTTCAGACTTCGTCTGAACTTAAGTTAGGGTTAGGAGTCTGATTCTGCATTGACACAGCTACGGAGGATTAACTACCCCTATCAGCACTGCCCTTGTCTTGCTGAGCTGAGGCTAGGTGTGCCAGAGGAGCAGCTTTGGCTCCATGCCGTATAGTATGGTGGGTCAGGTCGACCTCTTCCAGGGCGTGTGCTGGAGAAAATAAACATATAACATGTTACCTTTAGTAAGATACTAAGAGGAGGGCTGGAGAGATGGTTCAGCCGTTAAAGACTAGGCTCACAAAAAAAAAAAAAAAAATACTAAGAGGAGAAGAGAATTCACAATCGTATTAGGCCTTGCATATAGGCCTATTTCCATACAACAGGATCCGAGTACAGATTCTGTATCTGGGAGACGTGAAGTCACCTTGACCCCTATCATTCCATGTCAAAGACATACATATTCATCATGTTAGAGGCACACAAAGGGATAACTGTCAAGGTGTTGTGCCCAGAGCCTAGAAATTAGGTCAACCCTCCCAAAATGCTTGTTTTTAATGCTGTACTGCTTGGTATCTGGCCTCTGACCATTCTTTTGCTTTTAAGTTAAGAAGACAGCATTTAATTGTCAAATAAAATTAAGCTTCCACAAATATACTAGGACTCAGTCAAATATTAAGATAGCTAAGGAAAACACAATGGATTCTACCAAATAGCCACCTAGCCCATCCCACTAGCTTGCTATTACAGAAACTTGGAGAAAAAAGAGGCCATTGTTCTACCAGAGATGGGAAAAGATGTGCATATGTACATATGTAATTTAAAAAGACAATGTGGAAATATATATACCTGTGAACGCTTCTACAATCTCTGAAACTACAACTGTTATTTGATACCAAAGCTATAAAAGTTTCAAATCAGTATAACATAACATTATATTTTAAAGTAAATTTCTACACTACATTGTGTTAAAGGTGACTGTCTGGAGTTGGGTACAACTCTTGGCACTGTCAACGATACAACACTGGAGGAAGTGGCCTCACCTTCCTCAGCAGTAAGAAGGGTGTACTAAGCACGTGCATTGTGTAGAACAGTTTATAAGATTAAATGAGCAAATAATATAAGTTGCTACTCAAAGACAGGGATTTCCTAAACTGTTGATCAGTATTAATGTCAGGCCAGTGGGAGTAGAATGATCTTATGTGTTAATGTAAACCACTTTCATTTTTGGTTTTTACAAGACAGGTTTTACTATGTAACCAGGCTGTCCTCAAACTCCCGGGCTTACGTAATTACCTTTCTAGCTGTCCCGAGTAAGCGTAGCAAGAAGTGCTTACGCTGCTGTAGCTAAAGCCCTTTCACGAGCAGGTGCTTTATACCTGAAGTGGCGGTATGCTGCGTACTATTAAAAGTTTAATTACAATATCATCTTAACTTAGGTCTTAAAAGAGAAATCGATGTTTTAGACATCTAACCTTCTATTTGACACTGCATGTTTGGTGTTGGTACTCTCACAAAAGAGAACACAGAACGACGGGGACCCTTGAGCACCCTCGGGCCTTCCCACTCCTTTCTGCTGTTACAAAGCGACTTCACACTGCATTTTCTTCCACATTGTTTGTCAGTGATGAATCTGGGCCGCAGGACAGCCAGTTCCCTGTGTAAAAGCCAACAATGAGAGTACAGTTGACCTGGGGTTACTCTGTCAGTCTGACATGCCAAGCATTATGTCATTCAGCATTTGACAGAGCTGAACAAAGCTGAAAAAAAGCTTTTCCCCTGTTTTATTACTCATCATTCCTTTTAGTTAGTTAAAAAAAAAAAAAAAACCCAACAAATACATGTCTTAACCAAAAACCAAAACAAAACAAAACAAAACAAATGACAGAAGACTTAAGTCCTGAGCACCATGACAAGATCTTATTGAGGCATGTATTCTTCAGGCAAGGCAGCTCTGACCTTCACTTACAGGGAGACAACAGGCAAGTTGCTTTTCTCCATCGTGTTTTGTACTGTAGCACTCAAAGGAAAGACTGACTTAACCTCATGAGGTCTAGTGCAAGTCCTAAGCTACCTTCATGATCCACTGAGCTGCTGAGGCCAACCCCTACCTCATGTAACTGCTAACGAAAATGAGACACAGCCTTCGTTATCATCACATACTCAGAAAGGAGCCTATTCTGCTGCATGGCAGCAAGAAACAGCTTCCCTCTTCATTTAGAATTAATCTTTCTTGGATGAAGCCTTGAGCAGCCACGGTTTGTCAGGAAGGAGACCCTGAGGCCGGAGAGTGAAGCGAGTGAACATGCTCTTAAAGGAACTTGCTGTGCAGTCAGAATGTAATGCTAAGGAGCAACCAGAAGACACTGAAGCTATCTAGAAATAAAACAAAGAACAGAGTGCAGATAAAGTTTATGAAAGAAATAAATCTCAAGTGTTCCTTACAGAATCACGTTATTAGAGAAACAAAAATGTCCTAAAGATGCTAAGAAATCTCCTACCACCATTGGTAAACATCAAAAATTCTTTCTGCTCAATATAGCACAGGGAAAAAAATAGAAGTACATTATTTTACTGTGAATGTATCTAACTACCACCAGCCATTAAAATATTGTACTGTTCTAACTCAATAATAACATGTTGTTTTGCGTTTTGAGACAGGGTGTTTCTACGAAGCCTTGGCTGTCCTGGACTTACTTTGTAGACCAGGCCTCCAGCTCACAGAGCTCTGTCTGCCTCTGCCCACTGAAGTGCACTGGGCGCCACCACACCTGGATAATAATAAATATTTTTAAAGCTGAAATTGTAATTGGTATCTTTAGCTAGCATACAAATGGTAGAAATTATATTGATTTCCATGACTAATTCTTGTAGAATACTAGTAATCAATCCATTCCCTTAAACTACTGGTTCTCAACCTTCCTAGTGCTGTGATCCTTTAATACTGTTCCTCATGTTGCAGTGATCCCCAACCATAAAATCATTTTGTTGCTACTTCGTAACTGTAATTCTGCTACTGTTATGAGTCATAATGTAAACATCTGTGTTTTCTGATGGGCTTAGGTGACCCCTGTGAAGGGGTCATGACTCACAGGTTAAGAACTCCTGCTTTAAACTGTCTTTCTATGCTTTATCTAGGCTCTGATTCTGAACAACAACAAGCTAACAAAGATTCACCCCAAAACCTTTTTAACCACAAAGAAGTTGCGAAGGCTATATTTATCTCACAATCAACTAAGTGAAATTCCACTTAATCTTCCCAAATCATTAGCAGAACTCAGAATTCATGACAATAAAGTTAAGAAAATACAAAAGGACACTTTCAAAGGAATGAATGCTTTACATGTTTTGGGTAAGTTTTCTCAATAAATGGGACATCTTGAAATTGTAATTAGTGCCCAAATTTAGGTTATTAATTTTCAAAGTAATTTTAAAATTAATCTTTGACGCTATTACGCTATTTATAAGCTACGTGTGAAAAATTATAGGACATAAAAGAAAGTTTTGTGATGCTGTCTTTCTTTTTTAACAATCTGACACACTTTGCTCTATTTTTAGGAACTGAACCCTAATTCACAAAGCTTATGCTATTAAATTTAAAGGTAGTATTTTAATGTATTGCATAAACTACTCAAACATAATATAGACAATTAAATTCCTTTATTATTTGGAATATAAACCTAATTTTGGTTATCAGTCTTAAGATTATTAATATGAAGAATATTTTACTGTATAATTTAAATCTCACTGTTTTATGATGCCCATCATGTAACTGCCATTTTCCCACAACAGTCATTCAAATACCTATGCAAAGTTCATGTCCATATATTCACTTAAGTCACCCATGTACATGACGCTTAGGGAACAACTTCTTACTGACATTTCTTCTATATTAGATCTATAGTAATCACATAATTTATAATTGACATATGACATTTTAAATTGAGAGGTAGAACTAGAGAGACTGCTCAGTCAGTTAGCTGTACAAATATGAGAACCTGAGTTTGATCCCCAGAATACACATTAAAAAGTTGGGTATGGCGGTGTATACTTGTAATCCAAGCACTGGGGAAGCAGAGGTGGGCAGATACCTATGGTTCAATGGCCAGCTAGCCTAGTCTACTTGGCAAACCCTATCTCAACAAACAAACAAACAAACAAACCTAAGGCGGCTTTATGTAATTAATTTCCATCACTTTAAAACATCAAGGAAAAAACTGGATAGCGTCTTAGGAATGACATCCAAGAGTAACCTCTGACTTCCATAAGCTTGTGCACATACACACAAACAGTTTAAGAGGTAACAAAATGGAAAACATAAAAAACCTTAAATTATGTAATGGGCATTTTTTTTCCTGCTGCATTATTACTCTAAATGAACCAAAACTATCATGCTTATCTCATACTGGAAAGTAATGTCATTAACTTAGTGGTTCAAAATAAAATAAACATTAAAGAAACTTGCTATATGTATATGTGTATGTATGTATATATGTATGTATGTATGTATGTATTTCAGTTCACAACATTCAAAGCAGTGTTTTTCTGAGGTCAGTAGAAAGAAGAGTACACAGAAGTAGGAACACAACCTTGCTAGATGGAGCAAGAGACTGAAATGAGTATGAATAATGAAGACCACACTTCTCCAATATTCAGATGTGTCCTTCTGCACGGTGAGTTTCCATGATGACAACTGATGTGTGCTAAATCATGTCATTTCTTTCACAGAAATGAGTGCAAACCCTCTAGATAACAACGGGATAGAACCAGGAGCATTTGAAGGGGTGACAGTATTCCATATCAGGATTGCTGAAGCAAAACTAACCTCAATCCCAAAAGGTTTGTATTTATTTTACTTAAAATTAGTGCTTTAAAAAGCACCATCTTGACCATACATGGAGAGGTCCTCAACCCACTGCTCAGAGGAAGCCTATAGACTGCTCAGTTTACAAGCTGGTTCCCTAGTAAAAGGGACAGGGGTTGTCTCTGACATGAACTCAGTGGCCAGCTCTTTAATCACCTCCCCTCCCCGAGTGGGGGTGGGAATGCAGCCTTGCCAGGCCACAGAGGAGGAGGATGCAGCCAGTCCTGATGAGACCTAATAGGCTAGGGTCAGATGGAAGGGGAGGAGGACCTCCCCTATCAGTAGACTAGAAGAGGGATATAGGGGGAGAAGAGGGAGGGTGGGTGGGACTAGTAGGAGATGAGGGAGGGGGCTACAGCTGGAATACAAAGTGAATACATTGTAATAAATAAATAAATAAATAACTGTTGGCAGTAGAAGACAGGAAAGGAGAGATATGGTATACATAACAGAAGAGTAGGAAGGATAGAAACAAGCCAAGGCATGGAGAAAACAATTAACTGTGACCCTAAGAAATTTGCCTGATATACTGAAGATGAAGAGACATAATGTACCTGAGAATTTGCAGAATGGCAAATTCCAAAATATATCTTAATACAATGAATAATTTTAAGATTAAAAAGCCCCATCTTCACTAAGTAAACATTGTTATATTAACAATTGACTTGTAATGTTTAACACATTATAGTACACCGTGCATATACAGTGCCAGCGTGTTTGACCAGGAGTATGAAATTTAGCACTGTTTCAGGGAGCCGTGTGTAGTGATCTTTTTACAACATTAAACCATGTAAGAGTTCTATTCCTACTTTTCCCAGTAAGAATAAATACTAAAAAGCAACAGGTTTTCTATTTCACTTTTCTTTTCTGATATTTATTCTCCTAAACCTGTCAGTCCATGAAGTTTTATAGAGGTGGAGCACTCTGTAGAGTAAAAAGGAGAGCAAGTTGAAAGGAGCCAGACCCTTATAGCTATGCCGCCACAGCTGAGGGGGACACAGATTGTAAGGCCAGATGCCGCAGCATGGGCTTTGGCTGGAAGGATATGTCACAAAGGGCTCTGTGACATCTTCCCAGGGCCGTGGTGAAGGTCAATGTGTTAATACACACAAAGGCTTGAAGACAGTGTTTGGCACATGGCATGTGCAACAGCCTTGCTAGAAGGAGCTCTGCACCTTCAGCCCTGGTTCATGTGATCTGAAGCAGGCACTCCAAGGGAAAATGCTCCTTCACTGGGCTAGATACCTTCCAAACTTGCTACCAGATAACTAGCTGGGTAGGACTGATTGCCTTTCTTTAAGCCAAGCTTACAATCTCGCTTTTCTCATCTCCAGTATAGGCTTGTTTTCTGTGTTGATGACCATCTGGGTTAGAAATAACCAATATTAATCACATTTTCCAATTTCAAACAGTAATTTCAGTATCTACCAGTAAAAATAGCAACTTGTCCCTTTCTACCACTCTGACCCAAAAGGAACAAAAAGAGTACAAGACACACGGAAACCGATAATTATAATACAAATGAAGTTAGATGGCTCAGCAGTTCAAGAGCACTGGTTGCTCTTCTAGAGGACCCATGTTCAATTCCTAGTTGCCTACAAGGATGCTCACGAACTTATTCTGGCTTCCCCAGGGACTAGGTTTGCATGTGGCGCATGCAAATACATGCAGGCAAAACCCATAGACACAAAATTACATTAAAAAATCCAGTTATCTTTCACTTATTTGAAAGATATATAAAGTAAAAGTGGGAAGATAATTTTCCCCACCAAGAAGAATCCATACCTACACACATAAATCGCCTTTAGAGTTGAAGTGGTTGCTTAACTACCAGAAACCTACAAACTTATAATTTTTAAAGCAGTGACATAAAAATAAATTCTATCAGTAGGTCAAAAGTATACAATTCTTTTTCTGGGATGTAAGTTGGTATAGAGTACAGAGAAGCCAGAGCAAGGACAGGAGTGAAGGTAAAGAAGAAAACAAAAGAGAAATTGAGGGGTAGAAAGAAGCAGCTTGACCTGACAGGATGGCTGATATGAGTAGGTGTGGTCATTCTTTCCCATCCTAAAATTAATTACAATTTTTTTTTACAATTACAATTGTACAATTTTACAATTACAATTACAATTACAATTAATTACAATTGTAATTAATTACAATTAATTACCTTAATTACAATTTTCTTCAATAATCAAAGCATATTTTAATTTAATTTTTAGTATTTTTTTCCAGAGCTTAAGAAATTATGTCTTGGTTGGAGTATGAAACTCTGGAAAGACCCCTGTGTTCAAATTTTCTGGTTCTGTTGCTCTCCTTGTGGAGTTCCTGTCCTCTCCAGATCTTACTATTTCCCACTTCTTTCATAAGATTCCATGCACTCTGCCCAACAGTTGGCCATAAGTCTCAGCATCTGCTTTGATAGTCTGCAGAGCAGAGCCTTTCAGAGACCCTCTGTGGCAGGTTCCTAACTTGTTCCCTGTTTTCTTCTTCTTCTGATGTCCATCCTCCTTTCAGGATGGGGATTGAGCATTTAAGTCAGGGTCCTCCCTCTTGATTAGTTTCTTTAGATGTACAGATTTTAGTAGTTTTATCCTATGTTATACGACTATATGAGTGAGTATATACCGTGTGTGTCTTTCTGCTCCTGGGACAGCTCACTCAGGATGATCCTTTCCAGTTCCCACATTTACCTGCAAATTTCATGCATGGAGATAACCTAGAACCCCTGAACAGCTATAGCCCATGGCAGTTCAGTATCCATGTGGCTTTCATAGTAACGGGAAGAGGGACTGCCTCTGACATAATCTGATTGGCCTGCTCTTTGATCACCTCCCCCTGAGGGGGGAGCAGCCTTACCAGGCCACAGAAGATGACAATGCAGCCACTCCTGATGAGATCTGATAGATTAAGATCAGAAGGAAGGAGAGAGGCACCTCCCCTATCAGTGGACTTTGGGAAGGGCAGGCGTGAAGAAGGGGGAAGGAAGGTGGGATTAAAACGGGAGGAGGGAGGGGCTTATGGGGGGATACAAAGTGAATAAAGTGTAATTAATAAAAGTTTAAAAAACAAGAAATTATGTCTTTACAAACAAACCAGAACCAAATGTTTCAGTTCACGAAACTATTCTGTCACCATCTCTAACATTCAGAAACTCGTAAAAAAAAGTTATTCACTAAAACGTGATAGCCTGGATGTCAAAATTCTGTCAGTAATGTAATTGGCAGCAGGGTGAAATGACAGACAACCCAGGAAGTCTCACCAGGAAGAGTTAACAGGAGCAAAGTAGGAAATGTCTTCTTTCCCGTTTGTGTGGGAAATTCTACTGCATAATCCATGGGATGGGAAGCGGTTTATTGTAGAAATAGATATTCCTATCCAAAAGCATGCTACTATGTCAGCAGTAAATGGGCTTTTGCTAGATTCTCATTTCTGCATATACCCTGCTCACACCTGTCTTAGAGGCTGCATCCTATTCTGTTCTGTTCATCTACTGTCCTCATGTCCTCAGAACAATGGCCCCTTAGGTTTATTAAGCTACCCATTGAGTTTGCTCTTCTCCAACTTACTACACTCTACCCCAGAATGGGCTGATACATGACACTATCTAGAAATTCATATAGTGATGGGAATATTAGTAAGTCTTTGACAACAGTCATTGAATATATATAATTAAACTCAAACAAAATTCAAGATGTTAGAATCCTGTCAGTTTACAAGAATAATTTTTCTGCTATCTAGTCTGCTTATTTTTTTAAATTCAAATTAGGGACAGAGAGATGGCTCAGCAGTTAAGAGCACTGGCTGCTCTTCCAGAGATCCTGATTCAATTCCCAGCAACCCCATGGTGGCTGATGCCCTGTTCTGGCATGCAGGTATACATGCAGACAGAGCACTCATACATTTAAAACAAAAAACAAAACAAAACAAAAAAACAACCTAAGTAAATTCCAGAATAAAAATAAATTCAGCCATAAAATCTATCAATAAGATATTTCAATTTCATTCATAGGTTTTTACCATTAATATGGGAAGGAAATGTTTCAGCAAAAGTTGAAAAGAGAAAAGCTTTTCCAGCAAGATAACTAGAACCATAGGTTGACAGACAATACTTTGAAAGATGAGTCCCCTGGTCGGCCTCTTTCATACCAGCTACAAACGCAGAGGGCTGGGCTCTGGGCACACAACTGTGAGAAGAACAACAAATGTTCAGGGGTTGCCTGTCATGAGCCAGCGCACTGTAACTGAATTTCTTATATAAAATAAATATTACTAATTGAAAGAATAAGTGCTACAATGAACTAAACATCTCAAAAGAATAAAATTTTGTATAATGATGTTAAGGAACAAATGACTTAACAGGCAACCTCTGGGCATTTTATAAATTCACCTGAAAGAATCAAACTTGTCCACTGCTTCCTCTGTAAAAATACTGTCACAAAGTTAACAATCACAGAAAGTTGCTGGGAAAACAATTCCAGCTAATAAATCCATCAACAAACACAATGTGATAAAGTCACCAGAGCCAAGGCCAACAGTTTACATGCACTGCCAGCCTCTTTGAAGCTAAGAAAGGAGTTTGGATTGCAACCAGGAATTTGTGGCCAACCTGGGGATCCCAACCACATTTCCAATCTTTAATAAAGAATAAATCAAAGCAACAACTAACAATTCCTGAGGCATTGAATGAAGAGTGGCCCTACCCATCTGGTAGAGTCCCTGGGTCTGAGGGGGAAGGCTTAGATTAGAAGTAAGGAGGCAGAGTTCTGATAAAGAGTATCACCTGGAAGTTGCCAGCCAAGTCCAAAGAATGAACATCTCAACCAAACCAGTCTCTCAAACAAATCAAAAGAGAGTGAAGGAAATAAATGTAAGGAATGTTATTCAAGTTTCTGGGGGTGTGTGTAGAGTTGTATATTTTTTTATTTAATTTAATTTTATGTACATTAGTGGTTTTGCCAGCATTCATGTCTGTGTGGGGGCATCAGAGTCCCTGCATCTGGAATGAAAGACAATTGTGAGCTGTTATGTGGGTACTGGGAATTGAACCTTGGTCCTCTGGAAGAGCAGCCAGTACTCTTAACTACTGAGCCATCTTTCCAGCCCCGCCCCCTCTTTTTTTTTTTTTTTTTTTTTTTTTTTTTTTTTTTTTGAGACAGGGTTTCTCTGTGTAGCCTCCACTATCCTGGAACTCACTTTAGAGACTAGACTGGCCTTGAACTCAGAGAATCACCTGCCTCCTGAGTGCCAGGATTAAAGGAGTGCACCATCACTGCCAGTTATATATTAATTGTTAATACTTAAAATTTGGGGATCAGGCTGGGCGGTGGTGGTGCATGACTTTAATCCCAGCACTTGGGAAGCAGAGGCTGAGGCCAGTCTGGTCTACAAGTTCCAGGACAACCAAGGCTACACAGAGAAACTCTGTCTCAAAAAAAAGGAAGGGAGGAATGAAACCCTGGGCCTGGCCTGTCACTTAGCTATAGTCTTAGTCCTTAATTTGTTTCCTTTTGTACACATGAGTACTCTATTTGCATTTATGCCTACATGACATATACAGGGCATCAGATCCCTGTATAGATGGTTGTGAGCCACCATGTGGTTGCTGGCAATTGAACTCAGGACCTCTGGAAGAGCAGCTAATGCTCTCAATCACTGAGCCATCTCTCCAAGACCCAATTTGTTTCCTTTTAAGTCAAGGTCTCATTGGATATCCAGGCAGTCCTTGAATTTTCAATCTTTCTGGCTCAGTCTCTCAAGTGCTGAGGACATAGGTGGGTACCATCACATCCAAGGATGAAGGGATAATTTAAAATGATTTAAGATAACTTAGACAATTTGAGACAACCAAGGAAAGAAATGTTAGATGATAAAGAATTGTCAATTTTCAGACTATAGATGAGGTGCTTATGTAAAAACAAAACTAAAATAGGACCTTATCAGTCATCTAGTGAAGCATTCACACGTGAAATTTCATCATGCTGTAGATTTCAGTTAAAACTCCAGCCAAAAAAGTGACTAAATAAGAAGTAAATAAATGAGGTAGATGAAATGGAAAAAAATAGAGCTAGTTGTTGAAGCAAGACAATAGCACAGTGGGTCATAATTATACTTTTTACTTCTGAGAATGGTTGAAAATTTCTATAATCAAAGGTTTATTATAAGCACTCACTTGAAACACCTGCCTAATTCCACAGTCTGAAGCTTGGTAAACAGTCATTGAGACTTGGCCTTACGTTCCTCAACACACTTCCTTTCTTTTTAGGCCTACCACCAACTTTACTGGAGCTTCACTTGGATTTCAATAAAATTTCAACTGTGGAACTTGAAGATTTTAAACGATACAAGGAACTGCAAAGGTAAAATTTCCCAAAGTCTTCACTGAAAAATGGTAGCAGCATATGACTAACGCATTAATGAAGTTTTTAGAGATTGTACAAAGATCCTACTTAAATGACTATAAAGGGAAAATAAGAAAAGAACCACTGTTCTCCTATCCTACATAGTGGTGTGGGGGTTTCAGCAAATGCATGTCAAATCTAACATTAATATATTTTATATCATCCATAGGCTGGGTCTTGGAAACAACAGAATCACAGATATCGAAAATGGAACTTTTGCTAATATTCCACGTGTGAGAGAAATACATTTGGAACACAATAAACTAAAAAAAATCCCTTCAGGATTACAGGAGCTGAAATACCTCCAGGTAAAACATCCTACTTGTGTTTGGTAGATACAGGCACTTTAATTTGTAAAGAACATACTAGTGAATGTCAAGCAATGATCCAGGAAGCAACCAGAGGACTTTAAATACAATGACTCCAGTGGGATGGGCAGGAGAGCATGAGGAGCACACTTTCTCCTCAGGCAGCACTCAAGCAGAGAAAGACACTCTTCACCTACACTTTCACCTACTGAAACTGCAGAGGTTACTGTGACAATCTGTTCATCAAGCAAACTTCAAGTTGTTGAAGTTTCCCAAGCAGGGCTAGTCAGGACACTAAATAGAATCATCTGTTTCTTTTGTTCTAGAAATGTTTTACAAGGCAAAGCAAGAGGATTAGGATGCAGGTACTGGTTAAAACTGGGCATGCAGTTTCAAACATTCACACAGAGAATGAAATTAAAGGAAAAACCAGTATTTGGAGCATGTATTAGTTTTCATTCTATTAGACCATGAATAAGGCAACTTATAAAAGGAGTTAAGTGGGCCTATGGTGCCACAGGTTGGAGTCCATGATGGCAGAGTAAAGCCATGACAACAGCTGGCTGTAGCAGCAGCTCAGAGCTCTCATTCTGACCCACAAGCGGGTGGCAGAGTACACTGGGAATGATGGGAGTCTTTTGGTACCTCAAAGCTCTCCCCAGTAACATACCACCTGCAACAAGCCCATATCTCCTAATCTTTCCCAAACACATGCACCGCTGGGACCAACTATTCAAACGCATGAGCCTGTGGGGACCAATCTCACTCAAACTACTACAGAGCCTAAGAAATAAGGTTAGCGATGTAGCTCAGTGGTATAGTGCTTACATAGAATGAGTGAAGCAATAGGCTCAATTCTCAGTATCTGCACATCCTCTGAAAAGCTTAATTTTTATCATCTCCTGCTGGAACAAGTCACCAAAGATGAAGACAGTATTTTACACATAATTCTAGAACTTCTACCTTCCCTAAATTCTCATAAAGTCTCATCTATGGCCATCAGATGAAAAATCCCTATTTCAATTCAATCTGTTTTTGCCAAGGCCTTGCCTTACTGTGCAAAGGCTTTTCTCCCAACTAAGCATTGAGTTGCACTGTCTGTTTGTTTGTTTTTCCTTTTGAAACAGGATCTCATTACATAGTCCCGCTTGGTCTCAAACTCACTATGCAGTACAGACATTTCAAGCACTCATAATCCTCCTGCTTCATTCAACCTCTTGAATGCCAAGATTATAGGTGTGTACCACCATGCCCAGATTTTTTTTTTCCCTATCTTTAAATAAGTTTTGTTTACTGCACCCTGGAGACTCAAGCCACTAAAGAATGGACTTTGTAGATATTTGGCTTTGATGTTTCTGCACCCATGAGAACAGCCCAGTTTTCTCTCTGAAGCCATGCCCCATATCCACCCTATTTCCACACCTGCAACTCTGAACTACAACCTATCATTTCATAGTGGACAAAATTTTAACACAGAAAAGAACACAAGTCCCAAGTGGATAATAAATATCTGGAAAGTAAACAAATCCATGCCTCACTTGGTTTTTATTCTCACCAAGCTTTCTGTTCTAAGTAATACCTTGCTATGATATTGAACAGTGGGAGAAATGCAAAGGAATCGTATAAACTATCTTTTACAATATCCCAAGACTGACATACAACAAAGGAGAGTTGAAGACCAGCCATAAATATTTTACTTAATGTCTGTCTATGCTATTCATGAACAGGCTCAGATTAATCTTGGATAATGAAAACAGATTATATAGGTAATAGAAATAAGTAGCTTTGCAAGCAAAAGGCATATAAACATGGCATAGTCGTGACTACAGTTCTGAGGTAGGAAGTAAAAGTGAAAAGCCAAGCGACTAAGATGGCCAGATACCATATTCTGGGTGCTGGTACAAGTCCCATGCGACAGAGTTCTCCCCAACACCTGCAGAACGCCTAAACTTGGCTTGGTATGACAAGTACTTAACACGTACAAATGCGTATATTTATCCTATGGGAAAATACTTTCATAACAATAGAAAGGAAATAGATGAAGCTGGGTGGTGGTGGCACAGGCCTTTAATCGCAGCACCCGGGAGGCACAGGCAGGTGGATCTCTAAGTTCGAGGCCAGTATGGTCTACAGAGCTAGGTCCAGAAGAGGCGGGGCTACACAGAGAAACCTTGTCTCAAATGGCACCCAGAACAAACAAATAGGAAAGAGATGAATGAATAAGTCCATGAATCATAAATACTGACTATATCCAAGGTACTAGTCAGGAGTTTGAGGCCAGAAAATCAAAAGTTTTTAAGGGCAGTTTTGAAATGTAGCAAGACTTTGTCTCAAATAAAAATAATAAGGATCAGAAGTATAGCTCAGTGTACAATATTTCTCTATCATACATGAGGCCCATGTTCAAGATTTAGCAACCCTAACTATTAATAGAACCTAAGTACTAATAAAACACATTCCTTTTATATTTACTGTGCATTTAAAATTCATTTATCATTTTCTCCTCCACAACAGATAATTTTCCTGCATTATAATTCAATTACAAAAGTGGGGGTGAACGACTTCTGCCCAACAGTGCCAAAAATGAAGAAATCTTTATACAGTGCGATCAGTTTATTCAACAACCCCATGAAGTACTGGGAAATACAACCTGCGACATTCCGCTGTGTTCTTGGCAGAATGAGCGTTCAGCTTGGTAATGTCGGAAAGTAATAGTCAGTGACATGCTTTAAATATAAAAATTCAAAAATGTACACACTGTGATACTTGAATTGAACTAATAATGGTAATATTGTACACATAAGCAAAATTCTATTCCATATGGTCAATGACAAAAAATTTCAACAGAATTTTGCCTATCAATACTCAGAATAAATGTCTATTGCAGTGTCCCTTTGCACATGAATGATTCTGTGTAAATCTTTTGCTTGAACATTCTATTTTTCAGCAATGAAAAGATGATATTCAGTATTTAGCCCTTCATTACCAAATATGTTAAACAGAATTGTACTGTAAACAGAATGCTTGACTTAGTAACATTTGTGCCCTTTCTTTGCTGTTAGAAAAACAAAACTGGCAAGAACAGCAATATGAAGAGTACACATATTTTTAGTATCTCTTTAATAACTTGGATAGTACTGTAATATTTCCAATAATGTTGAAATATATAATTTGACAAAATCATATTGAAATTCTCAATTCATAGTAAAACTATAAGTATTTACTATCAACAGATAATAGTCATAAGAGTTGGTTTTTTTTAACTATAACACATGATTTTCTTTTTTAATTATTATATGGTTATAAAAATGTAAAATGTTATGACTCTTATGTAAATGTATAATGTGCATTTTATGATCAGTTATATAAGCTTTTAAGAACACAGCAACTGTTAGGTTACATAGCTTTGACACTTCAAATAGGAATATGTCATGATATTTCTTTGGAAGCGTATAGATGTTGATCAATTCTGCATCAACTTATCATTTCAAATACACAGACTAGACAACTCTGAGAAACACATCTGGGCTGACATAAACTAAAAGCTGAACAAAATGTAAGAGTACCTTCACATGCTTTTTTAAACTGATATTCAATATGAATTAAATAAAATTTGGAAATCAGGAAGACATTATTAAAATACTGGTTTTAAATAAAATATATGTGTTTTGGTTCAATTTGTCTTCCTACCAATACAGGAACATACTTTTTTCTTTAGAAAACTAATTTATTTTAATATTTTAGGTTATTTTATGTTATGTGTATGGGTGTTTGACCTACATGTGAGTTTGTACCTCTTGCAGGCTTGGTGCTACAGGAAGGCACTAATTTCCTGGGACTGGAGTTATAGATGGTTATGAGCCACCATGTAGGTGCTGAGAACCAAACGTGGGTCCTTTGAAAGGGCTACCAGTGCTCTTAACCACTGGGCCAGCTCTCTAGCCCCTCACATTTATTTTACACTACCTCAATATCTAGACTTCAAAATATATTTTTTGGTGGAAATAGAAAAATGTTCTAGGTATGTAACAAAAAGAGGTGGAAGCTCAAAACCATGATGAAGAATGGGTACATAACATCTCAGTCTTCAAGGTGGGTCGGTCACTCAGCCTCAGCACCCGTGGGGTTTTGGACCATTATTCTTAGGGTTGGAGACTGCCATGCCCCAAGAATAATGCCTCAAGAATAATGCCAGCAGCTCACTTGTCTGTACCCCTTCCAGCAATAATATCTGCTTCATCCACCTGCCACCGTCGTCACAATCAACAATTTCTCCAAGTATTGGCCAATGTTACTGTGGGAATGCTGGAAATAAAAGCAAAATTTGAGCTGGCTTAGAACAGCTGCTTTATAGGAAACGTACATGAAATATAAAGTGACATAACTCAGCAGATTAGAATAAAACTGCTGCTTTGTACAAACTATAGAGAGGAACATAGTGAGTTCCAAATAGCACAGGCTTATCACTTGTATAAGTGGTATAGAAAAGAGGTACAGGACTTTGATTAGGACATCCAGTCCCATTTATAGTCTAGAGCAGGCCACCCCTTTAGAATCTGCTTCCTCACCTACAGACAACACACACCAATGAAGTTGCCATATTACTTGTGGGCTCTGCTATCAAGGCTGAAGTCTGGTGTTTCCCCGATAGCCTCTAAGCTCTGTACTGATCACGGACTCCCTTTCTCAGTGGGTCCCTTCTTCACCTGATCTTCCCCTAAGGCGAGTCACATAACCTTCATGGAAGATTACTGACCCATTCCTGATAAGAAACCTGTTCAGCCCTCAACCTAGGGATTTCTAGAGATACCCACCCTATGCTCATAAGATGCCTTAGTGTCTTGGCTTCCAACCAATGGCCTTTAACTGGACCTGGAGAGCCTCTCCCACCAACGAGGAGAATTAAGCACTGTTTTCCCTTTAGTGAAAGGGCTGTTTTGTTACATGTAAATTAAGTATACCAGGAACCCCTGCCCCAGTGAATCAAACAAATTCACTTTTAAAACTCCTCTCACTGCCCAAGGATTTAAGTCCCTGATTCATTTTAGAGCTCTCTCCATTTCTCTACCATGACTGTCTGAGATTCATCTTTTATTCTGGGGAAGGAAGGGCTCCTGAAGAATCACCATTGAATGCCCCAAGCTTGGCTGCCAATTAGGCAGCCACTGCCGGGCTGCCAGGAGCTTGCACTGTTCCCTGGCATGCAGAACTGCCTTGGCGGCCTTTGACCTGCATCCCGCTGACCTGCTTCTCACTGAACCTGCCTCTCGGTCAGTTTCAGCTTTTGCTTGCACCCCTGTCGTTAACACAGTTAACTGAAGGGCTGTAACAGCGCAGTATCATCACAGGCTTTTGGAATGCCCAAGTTTCCACTGCAATCTCTTTTTAAAAGAGCTAAATGTAACACCCAGGGAAAAAACTCCTTTCCACCTGTCACGTCTCTCCCCTGTCCTGTAGGGCCTCCCCCTTAAGCGCTCCATCCACTACTGAGAAACTGAATCTTCGATCCCAGGGGTTCCCCTGTTCTAGTCCAGAAGCAAACAGTGCCAGGACAGGCCTGCAGGAGAAACCTGCATGTCCATTTCCCTCCCAGCAGCCCAGAGCGGAAATGCAGTACAACAGCTGTGACACCGAACAGCCCAGGCTACCGCCCGATATGGATGTAGAATGACAATTACCAAATAAAAATGTATGTGAAATGCTTTGCAAATCACAGTTCATAAAATATGAGCATCTATTATTAAACTGTGGGCTGATGAGAAAACTAAAAATAAAATACTGTAAGTGGAATTATTCTAAAATTAAAATTTTAAAGATTTTACTTTTATTTTTTACTTATGTATATGTGTGGTGCCATGTGTGTGGCGGTACCTGCTGAGTCCAGAAGAGCATGTCAGATCCCCCAAAGCTAAACTTACATGCAATTGTTATCTGCCCAAAATGGGTGCTAGGAATTGAACTTCAGTCCTCTGGAAAAGCACCAACCACTTTTAACCACTGTGTTATGTTTCCAGCTCTTCAAAATTAAAACATTTTAAAGTTCCAGTTATTTCAATGAAATATTTTTCTACAATATGAGCAGTGATATCACAACAGTAGTAGGAATATACACAAAAATCAAATATTTAATGAAAATGTAGTTCTTCAAATTAGTAATTAACATATAGTTAACAACAAGACCAGAGTCATGTCAACAGATAAGTCTATAATGAGAACAGTGGTGCTTAAGAGTTGGCAATGTTTTTCTAAGATAAAAGAAAAAATAATGGAAATGACTCCTAAATCCTTGCAATTAACTTGGTGCAGTTAATGTTTTTGTTTTCCCTTCACAACTGTTAACAATTTTGGGTTTAAGTTCATGAAAACAAATTATTAATAAAGTCTTAAGCTGCCAGAACTGCATTATAATGTTCTGCAATAAACATGTTTTAATGGTAAATACAGAATGCTGCCCACTTGAAATCCACTAAAGATTGAAACAATTGAGTTACTACACCAGGATAGTTAAGGTGAAAGGCAACAACTAGGCCACGTGCTGCCTTCATAGGCAGGAGCAGCCCTAAAATGAAGATGTTCAGTTTGACTATCAGGGATGCTGTTTCTTCTGCCTTTTTACTGAGAATTTATAACAGAAGCAAAGTAAATAAAACAATATGTTGACCGTCTATGTACTTTTCATAGTTTCAACAATTTATAACATAATTTTTACACTCTAATTCCTATAATTTTACTAAATTTGAGATAAAATCTATGTACAATATAATCCAATTATTTAAAATATATAATTCAATGGCCTTCACACTATTTAGAGTTCTGAACCACCACTATAAATCATTGTCAGAACATTCTTATCATTCCCAACACAAACCATGTACCTACCTACCTACTGCTTTCCTTATGCCCTGGCAAATCTATGTTCTCTATGGATAGCCTTAACCTGGGCATTTAACACAAGCAGAGTAATATGGTGATTTGCTTCTTCCACTTAGCATGGTTTTTGAGGTTTATCCATGTTGCAGCATATCAGAGGTTCATTGTCTCTATTGTCAAGCAACATTTAATTGAAAATATATATAATATTTATGCAATCATTGGTTGCTGGGCTGTTGCCAGTTTTTGACTATCATAAAAAATGCTGTTATTAAGGCTTGTATGCTCACGCTTCCATATATCCAGGAGCAGAAGCACAGCGTCAGTTGCTACCCATGCTCCTTCTGAGGAGATGCTACACTGTTTTCCAGGTGGATGTGCCACTCTATGTTCAAAGCGTCAACATACCAAGCAGGATTATAGCTCACTAGGTCAGGTACAGCAGTAGCCTCAGTCTAGTACGAGACGGGTCCATACTATTACACAGAGCAGCATTCAGTTTGTTACGTACATACTGCTCTACAGGGTACACCTAGGGCCTTGCATATCTTGGGCAAGTTCTCTACCACTGAGATATATACCCATTTCCTCTTTAGTGTTCTGTTTTGAGCAACATTTTACTAAGTTGCCTAGGGATGGCTTTGAACTCATTTTGTAGATAAGCTTGGCCTCAAACTTATAACAGTATTTATTGTCCACTTGGGATTTGTGTTCTCTCCCTTGTGCTAAAATTTTGTCTATTAAGAAATGCTAACAAAGTGTGGTCATCAGCTCCCTCTGGGGGGTGCAGCCTTGCCAGGCCACAGAAGATGATACAGCCAGCCTTGATGAGACTTGATAGGCTAGGGCCAGAGAGAAGGGGAGGAGGTCCTCCTCTATCAGTGGACTAGGAAAGGGGCACAGGGGGAGAAGAGGGAGGGTAGGTGGAACCAGGAAAAGATGGAGGGAGCTAAAGCGGGATACAAAGAGAAAGGGAAGAAGGGAGGGAGGGAGGGAGGAAGGAAGGAAGAAAGGAGAAAGAAAGAGAGAGATAGAGAGAAAGAGAGAAAAAAGAGAAAGAGAGAAAGAGAAAAAGAGAGAGAAAAGAAAGAGAAAAAAATAAAGAAAAAGAAGAAAGGGAAAAGGAAATGCTAACAAGAGTAGCATGTAAGAAGCAGATGAAACAAAACAAAACAAAACAAACAAACAAACCCATGATATCCAAGTTGCAGTGTAGCTGTAAATGTGCAATTTGAGATGGAAACAGGAATGGCTTGAGATAGAGACCAAGCTGTACTCATTGCCGCAGAAGTGT